ATTTTAAGATACCCAAGAAAGCTTGATATCGCTTTCTGGAGGTGACAGCTATTTTCAGCTTGTATATATCTCGAAATTTTCCTTTCTGTTTCAGACTGAAAAGTTGAGCAAATAAGAAATACTTATTTTCCCTACTTTAGAAGCAGGAAAGTTTCAAACACATAAGTGAAGGCTTCAAAAGCAACTCAACATTTTGGGTAGGTCTACATTTGCATTTCCAACATCGGTGCCATAAAGGACATATGTTTTAAGACGTATTGTGATTGTTTGATGCTTTCCCAAAATCTGTCCCTTTCGATTGTATCTCAACTTGGAGGGTCCAACTGCTGACATGTTCAGCCATTAAATTATTATTGTCACTGAAAAACATCAAAGAGCGTTTTACGTTCTATGTTAAATACTGGGGGTTTTTTACACATTCTGTAGCTATGTGATATAGGTAAGGTAACTTGACCAGTGAAGTAAAAGGAAGTTTCAGAAGGAAGAAAAGCTTTTATTTCTCATGAGAAATCAAATAAATGTACACTTAGGAGACATGCAGAATGGCAATAACATTCTCCAAACAGTACAAAAATTGTATTTTCAAATTATCAGCTATAAAATGTATTTATGAAAATTTTCACTAACCTGGGTGCTCCATCTTTCGTGCTCCCTATCGAGTTGATTTATCAGTACCTCTGCAGCTTTCAATGTTTTCTGAGCTTTACTTAGTTCTGCTTCAAGTTTTGCTGCTTCTGTTGTTCTACTCTGGAACCTGGAAAGAAACTACTGCTTGTAATTGCTATCATGAACTACTAAACTTATGGACAATTATTTTCAAGGCAGTTTAATTGACTGAATTTGTCATAAATTCCTCCCTTATTGTTCATGAAGAACACAACTATAATTCTTTTTTATACCTTCTGCTTCTAATTGGCAGTTGAGCTTGTTAGACTTTTAACTAACAAAATTTAGATAGATGCACAGGAGAGATTTAAAAATACAGTCGCAATATAGACTATAATGTCTGAAAATCATTCCTTCTTCTACTTAAACAGCCTGACTTGATTTTGGTGATTGTGTTAAGTTTTGTTCTGCACCTAGTCAGGACAATAGCAGGCTCAACGCCATACTATAAATTTGTAACTTTTTGGTAAATTTAGCCTCTTTAAAGGAGAATATTGTTAATTCACACTGACGACCCCAGTTCAACACACAGTACTCTATTTTGTAAACTACTACAAAATAAGAACATGCCCCAAACAATAGGCAAGGTTTAGGTATTATTTTGTAATGTTTAATATCTAAATAGCTTAATTAATATTTAATTAAAATAATTAATGCATTTAATAATCCACCTTTTAAAATTAATATATTTAACTATAATATATAGTATATAGTATCTGGTTAATCTAAGACATCACTATCTAGCTGAATGACAAGGAGAATTCTCCAATTATTTTTTCTTTGCAGACTACAAAACATGACTTTTAGTAATATGCACATATGTCAGGTTGTAAAGGATCTCCCATACTAACTACATAATAGAAACATTGAACTAAAAGACTTGGATTAAACTGAATTTGGAGAAAGTATAAAGGTTCACCACAGCAATTTTTATGCCACTGTGAGTCACGCACTTGATGAGATGCTAAGAAAAAAGAAGACAGCTAACTAGCTAACTGTCAGAAAAGCAGGCCATCCTAAAAGAAATAGAACTGCCTTTATTCAAGCTGTGATCAGTAGAAGTCTTGTATAGGAATGTTTCCAAAGTCCTAAGGAGACATTACAGACCTCTTAGATTTAAAAGGTGAGAAACATACTGCTTATTTTTGACATCTACATTGTCTACACTGAAGGCTTCCAACACAGTCAGTAGTGAGAAGCAAGTACTTTTAAGGAGCATTTCATCTGCTTGATAAGATGAACTGTATTCTAACAGTATGTATTTATCTCCACTGAGTGTATAGATAGCCTAATTATCACTACTTCTGATATAAATATCTTGCAGAGCAGGGAGTTACATTTGGTTAGATAAATTTCATTATTCATACCGTAAAATCATCAATGTTTTTATTTATATCTTGAAATAAACAAACTCAACTTACTTATCTTTCAGTTCTGATACTTTTTGACCAACAGAGTTCAGAAGATCTTCTAACTTCTGTTTTCTGTCTTCAGTTTTCTTGAGATTACTACAAAAATGTAACATTTATTTTAAGATTATGGATCAAAAGGAAAAAAAAAGAGCAAATGTAACAGGAAAGTCATTTACATAGAGAAAGTTCAGAGACAGTTCTTTCTTGTGATTTATATTAACAAAAATCTGTTTTTACATGTAAAAGTTTTGACTACTTCTCATCACATAGCTTTAAAAATGGAAACCAAACACCCCATTTAAATGTATTCTTAAATATCAGAACAAATTCTTCCAATACAGAATTTTAAGACCTGGCAAAACAATCAGTATAGATTCCTCAGATTATGGATGGTCATAAGACTATGTCCTATCTTTCTGATCCTAAGGAGAAACTGATTATGCTTGGTACATGAAAAAAGAGGAACTACGTATCTCATAAAATAGCATGGGTTTCACTGACAGAATACATTTAAAGCATATCTGTGATGTTCATTTCTCCCTGACACATTTCAGCTGAGACAGGTAACTTGTGATTGGCCAAAAAATATCCAAGGCATAGCTTCCAGGAAAAACAAAATACTGCACACTTACTTTTTCTGTCTCAGCATGAACGTTTTATTACCTATGGATGAGGTACAGTTTCTCATATCTTTTGTTTTCAATAAACTTCAATTCCTCCTCGGCGGCTTTAGTTTCACCCACCACCATTGGAATTAAGAACATTTATTTTGTAACAGTGTCTAACTTACGCTTCCAAGCCAGCCTTTTCTTTTTCCAAAGGCTGAATTCGCTCTAGAACATGGGAATACTGGACATTGGCATTTACCCAAGCCGCTAATGGAGCAGCTGCAGCACTGGCTCGTTTAGCATTCTGAAAAAAATCAGTACCAGTTACAAGGAAGTCCTTGAAGTATGATGTAGATGAGATAAATACAGGATAAATAACTGCAACAGATTTATGAGTTATCAACTTAAATATGCCAATTAGCCAGCTCCTCTACTGAACTAATCTTTTAAATTGTTACTAAGAGATTGTATTGTAGGCCATCAATCTGTGTAAAAAAAAATGGGTATCTTTACAACTATGAAGCTACACTGAAGTTAAGAAGTTTTAAATTAATGCATAATTTATCAGTGTGTTCCTCCTCAGGAAACTACAACTTTCCTTTTAAAAATAAGGAACTAGTATTTAAGAATTCCTTTTTATAGCTACTGCCAAATCAATTCTCAAAGATCACCCATACATTTAATCATCATTAGTTCCCCTTTTTTAATTAAGTGTACTGTTAAGACTCTTACTGCTACAAGGAGGCCAGAAGAAGCCAGCTACAATTCCTTGATCTGAGTTCTAATTTAAACCAGTGACAAAAATCTCTGAGGACTTGACGCCGTAATGACTTCTCATCCCAACACTCCTCAGTCACCAACAAAATTCTCACTGTTAGAGGCAGTACGCAACAGAGTAATCTCTGCTACAGTTTTATATCTTTATACTGACAAATTCTGTAAGCAGAATTCATCACTTTTTCTCTAATTTAAGTTCATTCTAAAAATTATGTTGGCAAATCAGACAATCATGTCTTTTTTTTTTCTTTTTGTCTTTTTTTCATTTTATGTAATGCAATCAGGAATTACCTTTGGATCAAAAGATGTTCTGTTTTTAGAAAGAAGTTCTTCAACACTCTCTCGTATTTCTTTTGGAATATTACGGGCATCAAAGGTTGCTATATCCTCCCTCACGCCTCTTTTGGCCAAGAAACTGTAAAAAGAAACAAATAACTAAGTAAAGAAGAAACAAATGTTAAAGATAACAAATGTTATTTCCCTATGAAACCAAAGAAATCTGCACACACGTTATTCCTGAATATAATAGAAAGTATTTCATATTGTGAATTACTGTTTAAGTTTAAAGATTAAATAAAATCCTCACCTCTTCATGCTGACCCATGATGTATCAAAAATCCCCATCAGCCGTAAAACTCCTTCTAGTATGTCTCTGATTATGTCAGGAGGCATCCGTAGTGACCGGATTTCTGACAAAGACTCTGGCTTTATATTTCCAACCGCTAATTTAGCTTCATTAACCAGTGGCTTAAAACATAAAAACATGTTAAAAAAAGAGATGAGGATACAAGAAACTGAACATTTGCCATTTCAGTTTTCATACAATTTCTTGGGTTTTTTACATGTTTTAATACCTAACCAACTGCTATTGATACATATTCATGTGCATAAGTTATTAAAACATTTCCGTGTGTTTATTAAGTGATGATAAATACATTTCCATATAAAACAGCACATGATAATCCTGACATTCCCTAACTTTTCATTCAGTACCTTAATTCATAAACATTATATAGATACTAGTATCAATCATGTTTGTTTGACCTTTCATTGCTTAGAAGTTCATTGTGATACACGTATGTTTTAATAATAATGCTAATTACTGTTTATAGGCATGCCTGAGAATATCTTTGTAAAGATACGTGGAAGGACAGGTACAAAAGCTTTCTTTTTTCAGAAGCTAAACAAATCCAGACAGCCTTTGCCCTTCCAACAAAGCAACAAAATTGTAAGAAAACAGAAGAAAGTTAAAAATTATCATTAAAGACTGTGCACACCTTGCACATCCTTGATATTTATCAAAGACCACAGAAAGGGATTTACCCTAATCCTGTAGTTCTATGTCACTTTCAATAGGATATGATTCCTTGGCACCTATGATATTTAAAAGGAAAAAAATTAAGTTGCTGTACTTTCCCCTTATTCTTCAATACAATTTTAAAATGGATGAGATGAAAAATAGACTAAAAGCAATGAGTGAACACACATACCACGCAAAAAACCTGATGCTTAACGGCTGCAAGGTCTCTTGAACAAGCAGTTTCCTGAAGTGCCATTAGGATATATAATTTTCAGAGTTTAGTAATAACTGGAAATTATCTCTCATTAAACATTTCTATTCAGCTGATAGTACCAAGCCCTATGCTATTACCAGCTTGACGAAGGCGGAGTAATGTAGTTGGTCTATATAGGATATTAGTAATTGAAAAACATTCCATAAAATCTGCAGAACCCAGCTGTAGATCATGGCAGCACAGAAATAGCAACTGGAGGTAAGATTTGGCTTAGACAGGTACAGACTTCGCTGGGTAAAAAACTGGCTGGACG